CCTGGGAATCCGATCGGTGTTCCTTACAGATTGACGGTTCTGTCTGTTTCTTAGTGCTTGCTGCCGTCCTCTGTCTTGTCTTCTCCCAGTCTTCATCCTCGTCCTTTCGATCTAACCTGCCCAATCGAAAGGACGAGGATGAAGACCTCTTAGAATACTTAGAGCGAGAGAGGGAGTTGGAGCATTCTCTCTGTCTCTGTCTGTCTCTTTGCCACTGTCTTTCTGTGTCTCTCTGTCTCTCTGTCTCTGTACTCTGTCTCTCTGTCTGTCTCTGTCTGTCTCTGTCTGTCTCTCTCTGTCTCTCTGTCTCTCTCTGTCTCTCTCTGTCTCTCTCTGTCTCTTTCTCTGTGTTCTGTTTGTCTCTCTGTCCCTGTCTCTCTGTCTTCTACCAGTCTTCGCGTCCTCATGATCCAATAGTCTCGCTAGCTAGCACAATCCCTTAAATCTTTGGAAATGTAGAGTGAGAGGGATACTTAGAGCTGGAGCATTCTCTGCGTCCTCTTCTTCTGTCTGCCTCTCTCTGTGTCTCTGTGTCTCTGTCTCTGCTCTCTGTCTGTTATCTCTGTCTGTCTCTGTCTCTCTTTCTATCTGTCCCTCTGTTTGTGTCTGTTTGTCTCTGTTTCTCTGTGTTTCTTTGTGTCTTTCTGTCTCTCTGTCTGTTTCTCTGTCTCTCTGTCTGTTTCTCTGTCTCTCTGTCTCTGTCTGTTTCTCTGTGAGGTCTCTCTGTCTGTCTCTCTGTCTCTCTCTGTCTCTGTCTGTCTCTCTGTCTCTGTCTGTCTCTGTCTGTTTCCGTTTGTTTCCCGTCTTTTAAGATTTAGAGCATTTTCTCTCTCCGTCTCCGTCTGTCTCCGTCTGTTTCCGTTTGTTTCCCATCTTTTAAGATTTAGAGCATTTTCTCTCTCCGTCTATGCATGCTTTTCTCTGGATCTCTGGCTCTCTCTGCCTCGCTTATCTGTTGGTTTCTCTTCGTCTCTCGCTCTGTGTTTCCCTCTCTGCCCCTCTGTCTGTTTGTCTGTTTCTCCCTATGTCTTTCGGTCTGTGCCTGTTCGTCTTGCTCTCTGTGTCTTCCCCATCGTTTTTCGATCGTCCTTGTCTTACCATTTGTTGCTCTTGCCTGGCTTTAGGTCTTTCTTTCGTGGTCTATCACTGATTCTCACGACTCTCCTCTCTCGCTCTCTCTTTCTCTCCTTCTCTGTTTCTACTTTGCTGTCGGCGTTCCATTCCAATCTTGTATTTTTTTTTTCGTTTTCCTGAAGAGTATGTTCTCTCTCTTTTCCAGTGAGCAGCCTGACCCCGTCTCCTTGGCGTCCATTTACCTCCGGTTGGTCTGTAAGGGAAAGGGCGCAATACGAAGATGGCGATGGACGAGCTCATCCCTCCCTAGGCATGTTGGTATTGCGACCTCCCTCTCCCTGACGTAGTCCCTCTCTTTTCCTTACCTACATGTTTCCCTTTTTTTTTCTGACTGTCGTCCGCCTTGTAATGCTGTCCCTGTAAATAGAGAACGTTATCCACAATGAAAGAGGACATTATCGACACACACAAAAAAAAAAGATTTCGCGGCATGACCGTTGTGATGGACGTGCGGAAAGGATACTTTATATGTGTTATCATATTATTGACTTGTTAGGTTTCGTAAAGTAATTGATACAAGAATAGGATAGCAAAAAAAAAAACAAGAGTAGATATCCCATGAACAAAGTCATAGCTTCGTCCTCAGTTTGATATGAAGTACAAAAAAGAATTAAAGGTAAGGCGTTTACAAAACAACAACAAGATGCGGGACATTGTCATTGGGCAGACAGACAGGCGGTGGATGATGGAAGGCAGGGAGGCTTCGGTGGTGTTTGAACGGAACAGGGAGTAGAAATGCGCGGGCAGACTCTGGAGAGAACACCGCGTTAGAAGAAGGAGAAATGGAGTTTGTGAGTTGTAAATCACCGCGAAAAAAAAATAGAAATAGTAATTGTGATTATGATAAAGAGGTGGACGAAGTAATCGGGGTGTCGCACGCGTATGGATGCCAGAGAGGACGACAATCAAGCACCTGGAATAAGGACATTGAAATTCAAACATATTCTTTTTGCTGTTAATTCAGTATCGTCAGTTAGGGGACTGTGCAGACTGCAGAGGGCTCAGCCTTCTGATGAGGCCTGGCTGAACGTTTCTTGTACTTTCTCCCTTTCCGCGTACGGTTCACCCGGCAGTTCTCCGTGGCTATAGATGTATCTATATTTCCATATAATTATTTACGGCGTACGGTTCACCCGGAGAGAGAGAGAGAGAGAGAGAGAGAGAGAGAGAGAGAGAGAGAGAGGGCGAAGGACAGATTAACAGGGTGACAAGGTAGATAAATACGGGGTGTGAGAGAGAGAGAGAGAGAGAGAGAGAGAGAGAGAGAGAGAGAGAGAGAGAGAGAGAGAGAGAGAGAGCGGGCGAAGGACAGATTAGCAGGGTGACAAGGTAGATAGATACGGAGGAAGGTTGAGGTGGGAGGTAGATGAGGGATCCCCACTCCTCCACATCAATGCGATTGACTACAGGCCAGCTCTGTATCAGGTCTTGCAGGTCGGCTATGTGCTAAACCTCGGGTTGCGCTCGGGTGTATCCTAACCGACCCGTCTATCCGCCGCGGCACAAAGTCCGTTTGTTCTCTGTGAAGAAAAATGAATGCGAGATGGGTAGACGAAAGGAACAGAGGGAGGACAGGAAAAGAAAGGAGAGGGAAGAGAAACACGGACACAGAGAGATATGACAATCGTGACGTAGATGGTTTTTCCTTCTCCCAAGTCTTTTCCTTCAACCCCATTGGCAAACACCTCGACGTTGGGGTGTCCTAGTTTGGTCCATCTATCCGCCGAATAGGAAGCATTTGCATTATCTGCCACATCAGCACTCCCTCCGCCACGTCAATTCGATTGGCTACAGGCCAGCTCTCTATCAGGTCTTGCACGTCGGATATAAACCTCTTCTCCGTCTTCCTTTTCTCCTCAGCACTCCCTCCTCCACTCCACTGCCACACCACCTCCTGCTCGCTGCTTCTTCCGGCTTTCTCTCTCTCTCTCTCTCTCTCTCTCTTCTTCTTACTGTAATCTCCCACCCGCAAAGGCATCGCAGTTGTATCGAAGTCAACTCTCTCTCTATTTCTATCTCGTTTTCTTTTTTTTTTCTCTCTCCCCCCCGCCCCCTCTCTCTCTCTCTCTTTTTCTCTTTTTGTCTCTTTTTGTCTTTCTCTGTCTCTTTTTCTGTCTTTCCCTCTTTCTTTCTCTGTTTGTGTTTTTATTGGAAAAGTTGTACCGAAACTCAACAGTGGGGGACTAACTAACTACTGGCCAATTGATCGCCAATTGATCGTCGAGTACCAGGGCCCTGAACAACTACTGGCCAATTGATTGCCATTGATTGCCAATTGATCGTCGAGTACCAGGGCCCAGTTGTTCAGGGCGCTCAAGGGTTGCTATCACAATGGCTCTCCTACCCATGGGCCTGCACTTTGTGCCTGATGATCAAACTCGCATAGTCACTAGTACGGGAGAAGGATTCCATTTCTTAGCACATGACGACGTTCTCCACCTTGGCAAAGGCTCGAAAGAGCAGACGCTTCGCCTCTGAATCCCACTGGCTCGTCAGCAGAGTTGCTCCGCCCAAGAAATCACAGGAACACAGAGTACGGGTTCGCTATGGAAACGATGCCGGGTCGGTGGAGGGGAAGGAGAAGTGGCGGGTGCCATGCATTTCCATTCCACGCGCGTCTCTGTTCTGTTGTGTGTGTGTTGTGTGTGTGTTGTGTGTGTGTTGTGTGTCTGTTGTGTGTGTCGTGTGTGTTGTGTGTGTGTTGTGTGTGTGTCGTGTGTGTTGTGTGTGTGTCGTGTGTGTGTGTGTGTGTGTGTGTGTGTGTGTGTGTGTGTAGTGTTGTCTGTCTACGCGTGTGCGAGTGCATGTGTGCGGGAGAGAATGGGAGCGTGGACAGTCTGATGTGGTACCCTCCCCTCTCCCACTTCTCCGGGCATAGGATTTTAGTGACCGAATTGGGCAATGATTAGCGCCAAATACGTCCAGGAAAGTCCCAGTGTTGGTATGGCGTAGACGTCTCCGGTGTGTGCGTGGGTGTGTGACAGGGGTGGAGGGCGGAAAGGGGCCCCTCCGTCATTCTTCTTCTTGCGTGTGTTCCTCCCCTCTTCCCCTTTCTTCTTCTTCTTGCGGCTCGTCACCGTGTGTCATTTGGCAAGGGGCATTGTGATGCGTCGCCTCTCACCCCCTTAGCTCTCTCAAGGGAAGAAGAAATCGGACCAATCTGCACGGAGGGAAGAAAAACCTGTGGCAGGTGGATTGTCAATCCAACGGACAAACTGATGGG